CGCTTTGTCTCCTATTTTCTTACTGAAGGACACATTATGAACATTTTTCCATTTTTTTCTTCTAAAATATGGTTAATAATGTAACAGGGTGGTCCCCAGGAAAGGGGGAGGTTCCAGGTTTCCTGCCCCACCCAAATGGAGGGTGGAGCTGAGCAGGAAGAGAAGAAGCTGCAGAGGAGACTGAGGGAGGAAGCAGGATGGAGCCAGAAGGAGACCTGGAGGAGGCACATGGAGCCTAGAGACACGTGAAGAAATTGCGCTTGTCTTTTGGTCGTGGACTGGGTGACACAGATGTGGGTGAGACCCATGGAGAGGTGACCATGGCAGCTTTTATCTTGATGTTGATTTTGCTCTTTTCCTTCTGGGCTTGTCTGGTTGTTTCTGACCCTTTTCTGTGGGTCCCCACTGGAAGATGCTTTAGACTTGTGGCAGGCTTTGGGGCCTTTCTCTGGGCCAATCCCATTTGGATGAAGTTTTACCCACGAGGGGACGGGTAACTTTGGGTGCTTCATTTAGAAACTAGATTCTTTGCCTTTCCTGTATTGTTTCCTGGTTGTATTAAAGTTCCTTCCCATTAAAGTTTCATGTTTTGTGTTAATGCGGTGGATGGCAGAACCCTATATAGAATAGGTAGGTTTGCGGGGTTTGGGCTGCCCCTCTCCCTGCCCTGTAACAGTAATACCTATGTTACTTGTTTATTCACTTTCAATATAATTTGCACTTTAACTCTCACTATCTCAGGGAACCTACTAGATACAAATACATTTTTAGAATGCATCCTTCACTATCTAACTTTTGCTTCTGTAATTTAACCTTGGGAACAAAATAAGAGTAAAAAACATTTTTTTTTTTAAACATTTGTGCTTTCTTTCTTTCTTTCTTTCTTTCTTTCTTTCTTTCTTTCTTTCTTTCTTTCTTTCTTTCTTTCTTTCTTTCTTTCTTTCTTTCTTTCTTTCTTTCTTTCTTTCTTTTTTCTTTTTCTTTCTTTTTCTTTTCTTTCTTTTCTTTCTTTCTTTCTTTCTTTCAATTTATACAAGCACTGGGTACAGTCAGAAGCGCAGGAGGGTGAAAGAATTCACCAGAGCCAGAGCAGGGAGCAGAGCAGGTAGAAGGTACGAAGTACACTGCTGAGGGGGAGCAGCGGGCGGCAGGAGAGGTCTGCGCACCATGTGGGACCCTCCGCCAGTGGCCGGAGAGCAGCCGGGGATCGAACTGGTGCTGCAGAGGCTGCAGGCAGCTTCGCAACCCAGCGCTCAACCGCTGCGCCACTGGGGAGGCCCAGTAAAAAATTTTTGATAACTACCATAACATCTAAATTCTCATTATTCACTATCTGAAACTCAGAAATTAAACTGATTTAGGTAACACAATATGCATCGCTACCCAAATGTAGAGACTAAATAAATTCAGGTTACAAGGAATGCTTGCCTATGCCAGGAAGCACAAGGAACACAGTGGTTTAAGCACACACACAATAGTATCTGTACTCATAAAACTTCAGAGTGTGGAGACAGACATCAAATGCGTAATTACACACATAGGTATGATACTACAATGTTACTAAGTGCTATAGAGGGGAACAAAAGGGTCCAAAGTCTATGAGTGACACCATGCCCTAATCTCCTTTGCTGGGCCTGGAAAGGTTACCCTTGGAAACTAACAATTAGGCCAAGATGAGAAGGATGAATAAATTTTGGGAAGCAAAGAATAGGGGGAAATATTCAGTTATGTGACTGTAATCCACCAAAGGAATGTGCCATAATTTAATCAATCCCTTATAGCGGAATACTTATTTTTTTTATTATTAGAAACAACTATGCTACATATCCTGTGCCAAAATCATTTGTATATTTGAATGTTGTCTCTGATCCTTTCCTCAGGAAAAAATGTCAGTGAAAGTGAAATTACTGGGTCAAGAGATCTGAACATTTAAAAAAAATTTTAAGTGATTTATGTTCCCAAAAGCAGTGGGGAGGGTGCCTGTTTCCCCCATGTTGTAATTAACACTCAGCATTATATTTTTTACAAATATTTGATAATTTTTCTTTTTTTTGAAATTGAAATGTATTTGACATAGAACATTAAGAATGTTTAAGGGATGTGACGTGTTGTTTTGATACATTTATAGATTACAAACATGATCACCACTGTATTCATGTGTTAATATTATTTGAACACCTCTACCCATTGCTTAATTATCATTTCCCTTTTTATGGTGAGAATGAATAAGAACTAGTCTCTTAGCAAGTTTGATGTTTTTAATACAGTTGTCTGTAATCACTGTGCTGTGCATTAGCTATCCAGGACTTATTTATTTACTCGTTGCAAGTCTGTACCCTTAAACTACATCCTCCCATCCCCCACTCCAAAGGTCCCAGTAATCACTATTCTACTCTGTTTTTATGAGTTTAGCTTTTTTAGATTCCACATTTAAGTAATATCATATAGTATGTCTTTCTCATCCTTACAATTTGATAGGAGAAAAGCTAATATCCCTTTTATATTTTTATTTCTTTGCACATTAACAAATAAAATTGAACATGGTTATATTTCTTTTTTTTTAAGATTTATTTATGTATTATTTATACAAGCACTGGGTACAGTCAGAAGCACAGGAGGGTGAGAGAATTCACCAGAGCCAGAGAGGGGAGCAGAACAGGCAGATGAAATACACTGCTGAGGGGAGCAGCAGGCGGCAGGACAGGTCTGCGCACCATGTGGGACCCTCGCCCGGCAGCCGGGGACTGAACCGGTGCTGCAGAGGCTGCAGGCAGCTTCGCAACCCAGTGCTCAACCGCTGCGCCACCGGGGAGGCCCGAACATGGTTATATTTCTATTAATTTGTGTTTCTCCTTCAAATAATAACTACTCACTGGTAAGTAAAATGATGTCTTTAAAGGATACATATTGCAGCATTTTTTTTTTTTTTTTAAGATTTATTTATTTATTTATATAAGCACTGGTTATAGTCAGAAGCGCTGGAGGGTGAGAGAATTCACCAGAGCCAGAGCGGAGAGTAGAACAGGCAGATGGACGAAGTACACTGCTGAGGGGAGCAGCGGGCAGCAGGAGAGGTCTGTACGCCATGTGGGACCCTCCTCCGGTGGCCGGGGAGCAGCCAGGGATCGAACCAGCACTGCAGAGGTTGCGGGGAGCTTCGCAACCCAGCGATCAACCGCTGCGCCACCGGGGAGGCCCAGCATTTTTTTTTTTTTTTAAGCACTGGGTACAGTCAGAGGCACGGGAGGGTGAGAGAATCCACCAGAGCCAGAGCGGGGAGCAGAACAGACAGAGTGACGAAGTACACTGCTGAGGGGAGCAGCGGGCGCAGTAGGAGAGGTCTGCGCGCCAAGTGGGACCCTTGCCCAGGGGCCAGGGATCGAACCAGTGCTGCAGAGGCTGTGGGCGGCCTCGCAACACAGTGTTCAACCGCTGCGCCACCGGGGAGGCCCTGCAGCATTTTTAATAATAGTTTCCAAACCCTTTTTTTACTAACTATCCATCAGTGTAGACTTGGTAAATAAAAATAATTCATCTGGAACTTTTGCCATTTGCAACAACCTGGATGGAGCTGGAAGGGATAAATGCTAATGAATAAGTGAAGGAGAAAGACAAATACTGGATGGTTTCATTCATATGTGGAATGTAGAGAAACAAAACAAAGGATCAAACAAAATCAAGCCCTAGAATCTTGACTATAAAATTGAGACCTCCAAAAGGGGAGGGTGGATAGCAAAGCAGCAAGGGGTCCCAGTGGACTACAGTGGAGGACTAAGGGTCCCTTAGTGGTGGATGTAGTGTGGTAACATACATCCAAGGTGGTGAGATCTTATACCTCTCAATCATATATAAGGCTATAAACCAATGTCACCTTAATAAAAACAAGTATAAAAAGAAAAAAATAGTTCATCCGTACAATTGATGGCTATAAAGCATCTTCTTTAAAGCTCATTTTTTTTTTAAAAAAAGAGTAAGTTCTTTATAAAATAGATTGCTAAGAGGGAAAATGGAGGTGCAGAACAGTATGCTAAATGTAAGAACACTGGCACAAGAATGAGAGAAAAAGGGCCTCCCGGGTGGTGCAAGGGGTTAAGACACAGCACTATGAAGGTGTCTGCAGCTCGGCACAAGTTCGATCCCTGGCCAGGTAGGTGACCCACATGGCACAGCAGACCTCTTCCGACTTGCCCGCTGCTCCCCTCCGCAGTGTACTTCAGTAGATCCGCCTGTTCTGCTCCCCACTCTGTCTCTAGTGAATCCTCTCACTGCCCCCCCACACCTCTGGCCTGTACCCCTGTTCTTGTATGCATAAATAAATCTTTAAAAAAAAAGAAAGTTGTTCATCTATATTTTGTTAATTAAAAAAAATTTTTACTTGCATGATTATATCACAGATTGAAAAATAATCTTTAAAACAATAATAGTGGTTAATATCATATGAGCACCTATTGTGCCATTATTACCATTAACCTCCCTATTTCCCCAATTCTTGACTTTGGGCATCTATGTTTTGAGCCTCACCTCCCGTTCTCCCTGCAGGACAACAAATCCTACAATTGTTCAGGCTCATCCAAACCTACAATCTTTCTGCCCCTCTCATCAGTCCCCTGAGGCTGTCCCTTGCCTCCAGCAGCAGAGTTCCATGTATATTTTTATAATGGCATCCTTACCAACATGCCAATTCCCTTGCCTTTCTGTCTGCTGCCTGGCAAAATCCCACCAACTTTCCCACAATTTCTAGTACTATATCTACAAACCCACCAGCATCTAATCACAAACTACTGCCTAGTTTCCAGTTACAAATGAAGTGCTCCCAAGTTCCCAGCTATCATCAGCCTCTCTCCCTCCCTCTGAGACTGTCCTGCTATATTCCCTTCTCTCTGCCTCCACTGTCACGCTGGTGGTGTGCATCCGTGTCCCAATCTCCTCTTTACTTCCCCACTTTGCTCTCTAGTCAGTTTTCTGCTGCCCTTCTCAATCAAAAAGAGTTACTTAAGTACCTTATCTAATTCTCAACTCCCTTGAGTGCTTCGACTCACTCCAGGCCAGCTTCCAGGCCCACCATTCCAAAGGAAGTTTCGGCAAGGTCAGACTCCATATTGCTAACTCCAGTGGTTACTGCGTTTCGAGGCTCTGGCTGTCTCTCCATCTTCTTCCTTCTTTCAGTAGAATTAGGTAGTTTCCTTTTTCCCGAAGCAATTCTTTTGGCTTTCAGGATCCCACACTGTAGGGTAAGGAAAAATGTCAGGCTCTTCTGTCCTCCCGCCATCAGGATAGATGATGGATCCTTGCGGTCCTGAATGTATGCCTGATGGCGGGCACCTGGAATAGGGTGTGGGCATAGGTAGATGGGATTCACCTGGGCTGAGGCTGTGCTTTTAAAGGCAGCGTCATGGGGATGCCAGCAGAAGCTGAGAAGAACAGAAGCCGAAAGAGAAGCAGGAGAAGCAGAAGCCGAGAGAACGCCGGAGAACTCAGATAGAGTGAAGACTTGCTGGGGGGCCGGAAGGCTGGCAGCACCCTTGCCTGCTGTGTACCGGGTAAATCCCAATAAAAGACCTTCAAAAAGCCACTGAGGACTCTGACTCCTCCTTTACCCGGTCTGCATGGGATCAGAAAACCTGCACTGTGCCCATTCCTGACCTTACACACACATTTCTGAATTTTCTCTTGTTCACTGGCCACAACTTCTCAACTTCAACTCTGAATGCCATGGCATCACAAAGTGTGGTTCTAGGCCCTTTTCCCTTATTATGCCACCATCTCTCCATAAGTGACTGTTTTTTTTTAAAGATTTATTTACGCATACAAGAGCTGGGGTGCAGGCCAGAGATGTGGGGGGTGAGAGGATTCAGAATGGGGAGCAGAACAGTCTGATGGACTGAAATACACTGCTGAGGGGAGCAACGGGCGAGACAGGAGAGGTCTGCTGTACCATGTGGGTAGCTCCCTGGCTGGGGATCGAACCCATGCTGCAGTGGCTGAGGATAGCTACGTAGTGCTGCGTCTTAACCCCTTGCGCCACCAGGGAGGCCCCACAGGTGACTTTACATACATCTGTTTGCTGATGCCTCCTACATCTCTGTCTCCAGATGGGACTTTCCCCTCATCTTCAGATGGTCTAACAGCTAGCCGCGCCAGCCTCTGCTGGAACATCTAGTAGGTATCTCAGTGCTACAGCCAGATCAGAGCCCTGGATTCCTTCCCCGTCTCCCCAAATTCTTCACTTCCCCAGACTTGCTGATCTCAGTAAATGGAAACTTAAATAATCACTCAAAATCCTGTCAGTGGATTCCCAAATTGAGACTAAAAGCCAAACAGAAACCTCAAAAGTCCTGTCAGAAGACAAAAATCAAAAATCACATCAGCTGTGGGAACAGAATTGTTAACTAGACATAAGGTTTACTATTAACTAGGTTATAAAACTGCAAACTAAAAGGTAAAGTGAGACTTGGAGGTGTATGGAGGCGCAACTGCATGAAGCAGATGTCACCGTTAGGACTGAGGAGGTAGAGGGAAGAGATGGAAGTATTAACATTTGGAAAAATAAAAGAACACCCCTCCCCCCACCAACACACGCATCCAGATCTGAAACACTGACCTCTGAGGAGGGCCTCTGCTTGGCTAGTGCTGTGGTTTCTCCAAGGAGGGTGCTCAGTTCTGCAAGTCAGAAAACCTGTGTCCTGGATTCAACTGTTGCCACCAGAAGGAACAAACCGCAGCGGGTGGAAGAAGCTTTGTTAGGAGGAGATGCTCAGAAACGGAAACAGATGGGAGGAGCAAGTCCCTTATCCCCACGCCCTGCATCTCCCTCAAGCACCCACAGCCTAGCCGGGAGCCATCTGGCAGAGCGGAACAGTGCTCTGCAGAGTTCCAAACCCAGCATCACAAAGCCGAGTATTAAAGGGAGACTTTGGAGCTGGAGACAATATACAACCCAACGACTCTCCCAGCCATCTGCCTGGATGATCAAGCCAAAAGTCTAGCAGGGATGATTATTTTCTCTTTTTATTCTTCCTATCAATTTATCCTCACATCCTCAAGGTTTTGCATCTAAAATAATTCTAGATCTGCTCACATCTCTCCATCTCACCCTCCCCCCACCCGCAAGCCACCACTGGCAACGGTGGGTGTCTGCAATTGTTTCCAACCCTGCTTCTTGCTCTTGCTTCCTGAAATGTATTCTTTTCAGTCATCAGAATGGTCTTTCAAGAACCTAAAAACTCTTAGTGTCACATGGCACATTTAATAAACCTGAGCTCGTTACCACGGTCTGAATGGCCTCGCTTACTTGGTCTCCTATCTCTCTAGCCCCACCGACCTTTTGTTCTTTAACATGCCACCTGGGTCCAGCCTCAGGCTTTATGTTGCTCTTCCCTCTGCCCAACCCTCCTGACAGAGCTGGCTCCTGATCCTTCACACGTCACTGCAAATGTCACCTTCTCAGACTACTCCTTCTTACTGTGGGCCAGTCCTCCATGAGAATGTAAGTCTGAGAGAGCAGCATATTGCTTTATTTAATACTCCATCCTCAGCACCTAGGGTAAATGCCAGGCAAGTAGAGGAATTTAATAAATGTTTATTAAATTATGAATTTCTTTACTCTTAACAGTTTTTCCTCCTTGGACAGATGATAAAGGATAAACGACAAAGTTCAGTGGTCAAAAAAACAAAAACAAAACTAAAACCAAAAAATTCAAGCCTACATAGTTTAACTGCAACTTAAGACCCTTAACTTTACTACCATATTTTTAGCCTTTAATTTGTATATGTAACACCTAGATTGCATGCTTCTCCCAAGGAAATACATTTTAAACGAAGTTATTTCTTCAACCCCCAAGAAAAATGTTTCAGGGTTATCTCAGCTTCTTTGGAAGCAGCATTTTCATTGCTACTTCTAGAAGTCATGGAGGAAATTGACAGCCAACTTTTTTTAATGAGCAGGGCAGATTTAATTTTAAGACGATAATAGTTTTTCTAAATGCTGCCATCCATAAATAGGTTTCAGGAAAGAACACCAAAGGTGACATAAATCTTCCTTTCTGAAAAAGAAAACCAAGTGTTGGATTCCAATTAGTAAATGGAACACAATTGATTCATCTGAGCTTTCATCTCAAATATTTCTGTTGGTCTGAGCTAGCTGCTCAAAGTCTAAATGATCTCCTTTCTCTGTCACAACTCTGGTTCACATGAAGAAGCAAGGAAAACATTCTCAGATCTTGTATCACTTAAAAGAATTCAAGTTATTACACAGAGGTAGAATCAGCATTATCTCAAATTTCCCATGAGTATGCCAGCCGTAATGAAAGGTTGCTTAGAAATACTTTATTTCCATCAAAGAACCACTTTGGGCAAATGGATCCATGGGTGTTTCCCACTGCCCCAGGGTCGAAAGCCCTTCTAAACAGGTTCATTTTAGGTCCTCTAGTATTAGCGAAATCATACTAGAAAATCTCTACAAGATCAAATAGTAATATGTTCCTAAATTATGGGATTAATTTCTGGGCTTTAAGCATTTATATTATCTACATGAATTAGCCTAGAGCACATATTTCAAGATATAGTCTATACTCATTACCTTGGCTCTTGTTAGGCAGACAGTCCTTCAGATCACTCAGACTTCCCACCAAAAGATAGCTAATTTACACAGCTCCTCACTTTCCAGTAATTTCCTCTGCTAGAAATTGGCTTAAGACAAAGAAGTGATAAGTTAGGGAAACTGGAATGCATTTAATGGGATATATGAGAAAATAAAATTCTTTATGTTAGGAAAACCATATGACACCCTGCAAACATGTTTAACATGTTCTGATTTCCAAATCTTATTTAAAAGTTTCTTGGCCTGATGCCTAGCAGTGACTAGAAGGTATAGGATGGCAACACTATTTTAAACTCTTGCATAGTTTTGCTTATCTTAAAGGTCAGTCAACACTTTGTTCCTAGTGCCAAATTTCTCATCACAACATGAAAAGCCAATAACTGCTCCCCTACTAGTACCTTAATACCAGGATTATAACAGGGTAGGTACTTTTTTTTTTTTTTAAATCTTGTTCTTCAGTCTTTAACTTCCTAGGAAACACTACACTGCATCATTTCACTTTATCAGATTGGCAAAACATGAAAGCTTGACAGCACTGAGTGTTGACAAGGACATAGAACAATGAGAACATTCATACAGTGCTGATGGGAATATAAATTGGTCAATCCCATTGGAAATCAATTTGTCAATATTTAGTATAGTTAAAGTTGTACAAAGTCTCAGACCTAGTTGTACCACTTCTAGGAATAAATTCTGAATATTTGCATAAGAAACCACTTATAAGAATGTTTATTACATCCTTATTGGTAATTGTAAAAATTGGAAACAGGACAAATTTCCATCAAAACTAGAATAGATAAATTGTGGTACATTTAACACAGTAAAATACAGCAAATAAAATACCCATTTGAGCAGCATATTTGAACAATGACACATCTTTAATATTAAACAAAATTTCTTTTTTTGCTCAAATTTTTGTACTTAGTCAATTTACAAAACTATATAACTTTAGGGGTACAGTTTAATTCCTCCATATGTGTCACTCACCCTCCACCAAAACTCCCGTGCCAACGTCTGATCCCCTTCCCCTGCTCCCTACTCCTTCCCTCCCATTCCTTCTGATAACCAGTATATTTTCCGCAGAGTCTAAGAATTACTTTTGCTGTGCTTTGCCAGTTTGTTTTCTTTGGTTTATATTACACAAATAAATGAAACTGTTTGGATCTGTCTTTCACTTTCTAACTTCACATCACATAATAAACTCAAGATCCATCCATTTTGTCCCAAAAGGCACAATGCCATCTTTTTAATAGCTGGGCAGTATTCCATTGAGTATATATTCTGCAATTTTTTTGTCTAGTCAGCTGTATTTGGGAACATAATTTGGCTCCATGACTTGACCTATCGTGGATCGTGCTGCTATGAAAAAGGAATGCATAAATTGTTTTGTATTAGAATTTCCATATTAATTGGATAAATAGAAGTGGTATTGCTGGATCACATGATATTTCCATTTTAATTATTTTTGAGAAATATCCATACCATTTTCCAGAGAGGTGGCACCAAATTACAGTTCGACGAACAGTTCCCTTTTCTCTACATCCTCAACAACATTCATTGTCTCCCTTCTTTTTGATGTGGGCCAATCTCAGAGGGGTGAGGTGATACCTCATTGTGGCTTTCATTTGCGTTTCCCTTATGATAAGTGACGTTGGACATTTTTTCATGTGCCTGTAGTCCTCTGAATGTCTTCTTTGGAGAAGTGTCTATTTAGGTCCCATTTTTTGATTGGGCTGTTTATTAAGCAAACTTCTTAAAAGCAGGTTGCAGAAAGATGCTTACACTATAATACTATTTATATTTAAAATCAAGCAAAACAAACATTGATGCTATTTATAAATACAATCTTATCTAGAAAGGGTATAAAATGCGAGTAGAATTGACAAACACCAAATTCAAGATATACGGGGGTTTGGACAGCATATAGACAGTGTATAGAGAGAAACTGATCAGGGAATATATTATAGACGCCTGAAGTAAATCTGTAATTTATTTCCTAAAAGGAAATAAGATATGAACTAAATACAGAAAAATGTCAAAATTTTATAAGGTTGGGCGGTGAAATGTCCTATATGTGAAATGTCAGGGGGAAAATAACAACTTCTGTGGATAGTTTCTTTTCATTCAATAAACATAGGTCAAGCATCTTTTATGAGTCAGGCTTTGTGCTAAATGCAGAGTCAGAGTCCCTGTTCTCATAGGACTTAATATCTAACAGGGCTGATCCTGCAATCAATCCTCTCTGGCCCCCATGGCAATTAAGTCTTACCTCAGTAAGTCTTACCCTGGTGGCACAGCTGTTGAGTGCTTCTGACTGTACCCAGTGCTTGTATAAATAAATAAATATATCTTTAAAAAAAAAAAAGGCAATTTATTAGTCACATGTGGGGGAAGAGGACACCACAAGGCGACACACTTAGGAACAGAGTGAACAAGCAGGTATGGTGGAGGCAAGCATTGTAGGATTAGAGGACAGGGAAGCCTGTGGTTCCTGTGGGAGGAAGTGATGACTCATTTTGAAGAATTCTGAGGAGGAGGCAGAGAACTTGCTACTCAGGGATAACCAGGAACTATACCTGGTCCATTTGGTAAGGAGTGTTGTTTGCTAGGGGACCTTATCTATGAGTGCTGACTAGGGCGGGGAACTTGCATCAAAGCTATTCAAGGTCTTCCTGATTTCACCAGATGTCAAGGCAGCATATGACATTGAGCCATGATGGTAGGCTTCAGAGCAAATGGGGCAGACAAGGACAGTGGTTTCTACTCTTATGAATCTTACAGTGTAAGTTTCAGAGGCATATTGGTGGAATGTGTGGGCCTTAATGCGGTTTACAACACAATTCTTCCAGTCTTTCTGCCATGGTCCCAGGACCCAACTGAATGGAGAATGGCAAATGGCTCTTTTGGCCACTAGAGGGCATTTCCTGCTTTCTGCATAGGCCCCTGTTTCTTGGGGTTTAACTATTATACAAATGTGGGTTTAATGCACTGAATCCTAAATTTGGTACACATTAGAATCACTTGGGAAAAATTTTAATTTTTGATGTGGTAGGAATAGGAATGAACATGGGCCTCTATATTTATTTTAAAACGTTTCTCAAGTGGCTGATAGGTAAGTAATGATGAAAAGCAAATTGAATTGCCTGTTTTCAGAGGTTCCCATTTACTTTAGTTATTTTTTCCAGATTTATTAAGATATAATTGACATATTACATTGTGTTTAAGGTGCACAAAGTGCTGACTTGATGCACTCATACACTGCAAAATACATTTTGCTGTACTTAGCTCCCCAGAGCTTATTCACCTTATAAGTGGCAGTTTATACTTTTTGACAGACATCTCTCCATTTACAC